ATGGGGGGTCATCGATCACCCTTAGGGATTCGCTACTGTGTTTGTCACGGTATCGTGTATTGACAACCCAACTTAACGAGGTACATGAGTCGTGTATCTTGCGAAGCCCCTTCTGTCTATCCACCGCTCAGTAGTGGGGCTCCGCACTGCCGTAGTGAACTATAGGGGGGTGCCCTATAGGAATCTACCTCGGCTTGGGGCTATAGAGAGATGTGGTTAAATACAAAGTGTCCACCTTCATATCACCAATTGGTTTTAGGAAGCATTTGGCACCTCTTTAACTTCAGAACTCTATAGTTAAGCGTGCTGGAACGGGAGTAGTCCCACGATGGGTGACCCACTCGGGAGTTCTAGAAAACGATCCTACATTTTGTCCCAAAGAAACTGCGCACAAAGTATCGAGTCTAGTACCTTGAAAGATTTCGTTGAAAACGTCATATTGACCAATAACATTTAGGGTGCTGTTCAAACATGCAACACCAAAGAAAGCTTGCCAAATCTAAAGATCTTTCGAGGCAGCAACTTCTAGCATGATTGCGGGATGTCTGTGATCCCCACATGTGAATTGACCTGTCATGCATTAGGACAATTTCGACACGTCTAGTGCATACAATCAATACTGACAAGCATGCTGGGAAATACATGTCTCACTTCCTGGGCAGCGAACAAATTTTGAACGTCTTTTTGATTTGGTCTTCGTAAATCTTGTTTGATGTATAACTTGATGACCCATTTTGCAAACTTTTACAAGCATTCACGAAACGTTCTCACAAACATTTTGAGATAATCACGTGTGTCCATGGACGTGTCGTCTGCACGTAGTTGAACCATTGCGATGCACTTTTGCAAGGTACTAAAACCCAATTTCAGTCTGCCACCCGCATGTAGAATAAAAAGAAGGATCTGTATGTGCCAAATCATCGAGAATGCGGAGGAAAAGATGGTGACTTATACGAAAGCGACGCCTAAACTGTTTGTTATTGTAGATCGAATTTTCCGCAAAGTAATCTGCCACAAGTCGGTCGTGACCACCTACGGTGTGCATAACATAATTTATAGCAAAAAATAGTATGAAAATTTAAATATAATTAGGATTTAAAAAAACAAATCGTATGAAGGATTTATATTTGTATACCAATCTGATCTCGTCGCAACAATGCATTTCTTTTTCTTAGCTCTGACGTATTTCTATTTTCTACCTGTCCGGATAAAATTTTTGTCGCCTCCACGACCACATTTATGCACAAAGTTTTGACTTCATCCAAAGAAGAAGTCGTCTATCTCATCGTCGTATCAGATGAAGGAGACAGCATTGTGGCAAAACCCGATGAATTTTTTGTTTGAAAGTGAAGGTGAAGAATGGAGAAGAAATTGAAGGGGAGGGTGTTTAAATAAGGAATTTTTTGAATTTTTAATTTTTTTGGCTTTCAAATGGATTTTATTAAGAGAAGAAATATGACCTTCGTAAACACTCGGAAATTACAAACTAGAACACACGGAGCCGGACGGGAAAAACGGGAAGGGGACCCCTCCTTTCCCGCATAGGAGAGCGGTGTTCCCCTTCCCTTCCCGCTGCCACATTGCCTTCCCGCAAGGCCTTCCCGTGGGCATATCTCATAGCCTTAAAGTCTGTTTAGGAATAATGTTAATGATTAATAACATTGACATTTTGAAAAGGATATCTACGGGCAACGTTTATCGTTAGCATTTTCAAAGTAACTTACATCGTTAAAAATTTTATTCAAAATGCTACCGCTAATCTCTAACGCTATTCCCAAACAGACTCTTACGGTTTTTCTTCTTCTCATTTATTGCAGTTTAACTTCAGTTCTTTCACCAAACTACATTCATTACCAATATAAATAAATGACTATTAAAAATCCACATGTTATGATTTTAAGTCTAATAACAAAGAATTAGACTCCATCTATACACGAAATTCAAACTGTAGAATTGGAATTAGAGACAACAATTCCAATTATGTTGTTTGGTATCACTAAAATATGTGAATTTGGAATTTCTGATACAAAAAATGAATTGGAATTGGAGAATTCAATTCCATAAAATTTAATTTTTAATTCAACGGAAGGATATAGGGGGGACGGAAGGAGTAATATTTACCATAGTTTTTAATTCTTTTTTGAAGATTTTTAAAAAACACATCTATGGGATTCGAACACAAGATGCAGGGATGAAAGTAACAGTTGCAATCCATCTCTGCTACAAAACTTGGTGGTAACTCCCTACTTTTCATTTGTAATATTCTTAAACTAATTTTTTTTTATAAAATACTGTAAATATATATACATATTTAGTTTTTTTTATGAACATTCAAAACCCATTGATATAATTGATATGGAGTGCATATCGCACAAATATTTTATATAAATTAATAGGTAAAATGTTTAAAAAAAATTCAAATCACTTTTTATTTATAAGCTTTTTTAAATAAGTAAATTTTATTTTTATTTAATGACACAACTCAAGTAAATTAAGTTAAATTATAAATTTAGTAAAACATCAATTCTTTATTTGTAAATAGAGTAAATATTATTTTATTTACTCTAATATTAATTTTTTAAATCAATCATCAACAAAGTAAAATTTTATTGATAAAAAGTTCAATAAAGATTACAATAAAAAGTAGAGTAAAACTTACAGTACTTCAAGGACTTGAGAATTAATTTGGAATGATGAAATTTTAACCCACTCAAATTTAGTACAATATTTAAAAGTAAAAAGTGAAGATTTTTGCCCCAAAAAGGGGAAGAACCGATTGGAGAAGCCTAGGAAAGGAGAAGATCTGCACTGGCCATTTATAGAAGAGGATCACCGACCGGCGAGCAGACCGGCGGCCGCCGGCCAGCCCGCCGGCGCCGCTGAAGAATTCTCCAGAATCGCAGGAATACAGGAGGGCAGGTAGGCTGCAGCCTGCCAGCCCCCAGCGCTCCCCCTCGCTTTTGGAGCCTTTTCTCGCCGTCGCCGCCTTCTGAACTGCCGCCGGCCAGGTCGCCTGTCAGGTTGCCAAAATCTGCCGATGTTACCTTACTCAAAATTTTGTTCCGAACATTTTTTCCTTCTGCACCGACTTCTAATTTCGCACCGTTTGTGAGATAGAATTGTTTGTCTATTAAAAATTACTCTTTTTACTCTATTCTTGACCCAATTTTATATATTACTTCAAAGACATTCTTTTTATTATCAATTTACCAAAACATATATTTTTGATAAAAATAATAAATAATTGACTAGTTTGATAATTAAAATGATACAAGAACGTATTAAATATGAGTAAAAAGATAAGTACAAAACGGACTTATCAATCTCCTCACACTTAAACGTTGCTTGCCCTCAAGCAACTCATCATCTACCAACACAAGAATGAAGAAGATTGTTTGATTATATTCTAAGATCCTACTTCCTTGCAATAATCAGTTAATTTCATTAGCATTAATTACTTCATCTTTTTCTTTATATTCTAACAAGTAAATATCTCATCACTCTTTTCAAAAAATTTAACAATGAACTTATTTAAAAGTTTGCGTGAGTAAGTTTTTCTTCCAAGATCCCCTAAGGTCAGTAATTAATAACGATTTGTAGTCTCTTGGTCCACTTATCTCANTAAAACCCAACTCATGCACAATTTTAAATAAAAGTTCATTGTTAAACTTAGAAATGAGTAAATGATTATTTAATTTATTAGAGAATAAAAGAAAAATGTAAAGTAATTGAAAACTAAATTCATTAACTAATTATTGATCAAGAAAATAATTTTCTAGAATATAATCATATCTGATATTCTACCTCCTCACACTTAAGCTGGACCTCGTCCTCGAGGTCCAAATGCGGGATGCGAGTAGAAAAATCAAACCGGGGTGCAATTAGGAGGAGTGCATTAGGGCTGCTGTTAGGAGTAAACCGGGGGTCTTATCAAGTTGATAATTTAGTGGCGGATGTGCGGAGGAAAATGGAAGGGAAATAGTGGGCGAAAGTATGGAGGGTGTTTTAGAAGTTCTTTTTTGGTATTTTATGGAAGAAAAAAGAATAGGATTAAGAAGGAAAAATGGAGGGATATGAAATGGAAGAAATATCACGGATGGATAAAACCAAGTTGGTGTTAGGAGATATTACACACTCTTATCCTAACTTGGGGTTTGAATCTAGAATTCAATTAAGATATTACACACTTAATCAAATATCTAGAACCTAAAACTCACACTTAAGATAACCTCTTTTAAGATATAGAATTAGAAATTTGGCTAAAATAACATCACACTATTTTAATAATACTCAAAGAGTAAATAGTTTTCAATATTAAAAGATGTGTTACAATGGCCATATGGCCTGAGTTATATAGGGAGAGGGGAAGGGGAAAATACATAATACATTGAATGTGAACATGAGGAAGCTTCCTAGCAACATCCACTTCCAAAGTATGGGGTAACACTCATTGAATCCTGTCTCCAAAGTGGGATAAAATTCAGGGATGTGGCTGGTGTTGTGGGGGTTTTAAGCTTTGGTTTGTAGTGGTTGGTTCCTGGGTTTTAAGGCTATTATTTGGAACGTGTGGCCTAATTAATCTTTTTACCTCATAGACAAAGTAAAAGATTAATTTCCAAAGATTAATTAATAATAAAAACAATTTTATTTCTAAGTGTTCGAAACGTGTGGCCTAATTACTCTTTTTACCTCATAGACAAAGTAAAAGATTAATTTCCAATGATTAATTAATAATAAAAACAATTTTATTAATTAATAAAGGTTAATTCATTTTCTAACAATTAATCCAATTACTAATAAATAGATGAAATTAAATTGCTTAAATCTTAGTTCCGAATCCTAACCCATTTTAAATTACCAATTCATAATTTTAAACAAAACATTCATCATCATCATAATAACATTTAAAATCTTCGAACACATACCAATCATTAACAAAGTAAAATTTTATTGATAAAAAGTTCAATAAAGATTACAATAAAAAGTAGAGTAAAACTTACAGTACTTCAAGGACTTGAGAATTAATTTGGAATGATGAAATTTTAACCCACTCAAATTTAGTACAATATTTAGAAGTAAAAAGTGAAGATTTTTGCCCCAAAAAGGGGAAGAACCGATTGGAGAAGCCTAGGAAAGGAGAAGATCTGCGCTGGCCATTTATAGAAGAGGATCACCGACCGGCGAGCAGACTGGCGGCCGCCGGCCAGCCCGCCGGCGCCGCTGAAGAATTCTCCAGAATCGCAGGAATACAAGAGGGCAGGTAGGCTGCAGCCTGCCAGCCCGCCAGCACTCCCCCTCGCTTTTGGAGCCTTTTTTCGCCGTCGCCGCCATCTGACCGGCGGCCCTGCCGCCGGCCAGGTCGCCTGTCAGGTTGCCAAAATCTGCCGATGTTACCTTACTCAAAATTTCGTTCCGAACATTTTTTACTTCTGCACCGACTTCTAATTTCGCACCGTTTGTGAGATAGAATTGTTTTTCTATTAAAAATTACTCTTTTTACTCTATTCTTGGCCCAATTTTATATATTACTTCAAAGACATTCTTTTTATTATCAATTTACCAAAACATATATTTTTGATAAAAATAATAAATAATTGACTAGTTTGATAATTAAAATGATACAAGAACATATTAAATATGAGTAAAAAGATAAGTACAAAACGGACTTTGCAGGAGCGCTCAGGCTTACTCTTTCACTTGAATTTTAAACGTTCCTATCGCCCGCTTAGAAGTGGATTCGAACCACTGACACAAGGATTTTCAGTCCTTTGCTCTAACCAGCTGAGCTACCTGAACCACTTTCCTATCAATCTCCTCACACTTAAACGTTGCTTGCCCTCAAGCAACTCATCATCTACCAACACAAGAATGAAGAAGATTGTTTGATTATATTCTAAGATCCTACTTCCTTGCAATAATCAGTTAATTTCATTAGCATTAATTACTTCATCTTTTTCTTTATATTCTAACAAGTAAATATCTCATCACTCTTTTCAGAAAATTTAACAATGAACTTATTTAAAAGTTTGCGTGAGTAAGTTTTTCTTCCAAGATCCCCTAAGGTCAGTAATTAATAACGATTTGTAGTCTCTTGGTCCACTTATCTCAATTGATTAACTTATACTCCCTTTGTCCCCCTAAGATCTTCCCGTTTTGACTTTTTGTGGTTTTTAAGGAGAGTTGAAAAAAGGTAAAAATTTACCAAAATACCCTTAATGAAAATGGGTGGGGTGTATTAAATAAAGTGGAAAAGGTGTAATAAATAAAGTAAGTGGGAGTAGTTGTGGTATTTTATATGTTAAAAAAGGTAATGAGAAGATCTATGTGGGACAAATAAAAAAGGTTAATGGGAAGATCTATGGGGGACGGAGGGAGTATATTTTTTTTTGTTTTTTTGTGAGTTATCCCATAATTCCCTTTTTATTGCTTATGAATGGATTTTTTTTTCTTTTAATAAATAATAATAGAAGGGTTGAACTCCAAAGGAGATAGGACACTCAATGCAGCACATAAACGCAAACAATTGGAACAATTGTTTGAGTTGTGAGTTTACCCCATTACATATGCATACTTGCTCCCTCGCCTTATGCGATTCACGGGAGAAGCAGAGCTCCTTTCGGAGATAGGATTCCCAATTCGTCACTAAAGCGCAACCCTCACAATTATCTTTGTTTATTTATTTCAATTAAAGAGAAAGTGACCAAAAGACTTATAATCGTTATGTAATTAACAACCTTAAGTTACTCAACTAAAACCCAACTCATGCACA